ATTATTATAAGCATGTTTAACCAAAGCTAATTTGAGTGTGTTTGTCCCATCTCCAATGTCACTTCTCTTTCTTTTACGGCCCTGACGAGAACATCGATCTCCTCGTCTGTGAACCGATTGTGAAGCGCGCCTGGTAAATGCGCCGTTTTAATAGAATTGTGCCATGGAACCATAGACATATACACTAGACGTCTCCTTGGCTACGCCAGTTCATTGGAACGAATGCGTCAATAGAGCCGCCATCTTGAAACAGGGGAGGTCCCTCCACTTTAATGCACCAGCGTCAATGTAGACACAGGTTTTAGTTCTGATTTCAACTGTGAACATCATACGCTGCACAAAAGTCCGCCACCATCAATGAATTCGAAGTAAAGGCAGAGATAGCAGCGTTACCTAGCAACTTCCTATGACAAGACCCCTGTTTCAAGATGGCGGCGGTTTTGACGCATGCTTAATACCCCAAGGTGACATCTAGTGTATATGTCTATGCCACAGACCAAGCCACCTCGTTCGTCATGCTCTTAAAGGGAATGTGATACGATGCTCTTATTGGTTGGTTTCCGTTACGCCCAAACCACACCTATGAATAATGAAGCTATTTCAGACCAACCCCTTTTGAACTTGCGTCGGGCGCAAGAGTCATTTATCCCGCCGGTTAAATAGCAACAGCGCCCAACACCCGCCCACAAAGTTACTTGCACTTCGCATCTTTAAAATAGGGCCCACTATGGTTTTTTGGAAACGCACATGCATGCCATGGTACATTTCCGTATCATGCTATACAACAAAACACCATCTTTATCATCTGATCCATCTGATACCTGCCATTGTACGGTTATGGAGCATAAACCTGTTTTTGTCCGTCAAAAATGTGTTTGATACGAGTGAATCAACAGTTTAACTCTAACCCCTGTGATCCACTGCATTCAGAGCTGATGATCATGCTTTTGTCTGTCATTTGACGCTCCTGCTATGCCAGACACAAATAAATTCAAACGGTGACTCAATGTTTTCGGTAGATTTCCTTCAGAGTGGTCTCTGCAGAAAATACTAGACAGGAAGAGATCAGGGTGGTGTGGATAAGTGTTCAACGCTTTTATTATATTATGACAGAAGCTTTATTGAGGCTCGATGATGGTCCTGCTCGAAGAAATAATAAAGTGAACATGATAGCGGTTGTGTTCGTAAATACCCAAAGGCTCAATTTAATCTTGAAGCTTTTCTTAAACGTCAAAGAGATGAGAATGTCTTAAGATGACACCGTGTCAAGGAAAAGCTCACTTAAAAAAATGCCAACCATTAGCTTTGTTTACAGATAACATCAATATGAGAAGTTCTTATTTGCTGCCATTTTGACAATAGGTTCTGCTCACAAAAAGAAAAACAAAAAGTTAAATTATGGAGAAGGTTGTATTTATTCAGTTTGACTTTGAAATATTCTAAGAAATGCTGGGTTGTTTCATCCCAAATTTGGGTCAAATATGGACAAACCCAAATGTTGGGTTAAAAATGTAATTAAAAAATGTACAGTTTAAAGTCGAAGTTGGGTTAAAATTTGAAATTACATTTTTAACCCAACATTTGGGTTTGTCCATATTTGACCCATTTTTTATAGTGAATGAATCTCGTGTCTTTGGCTAAAGTTTCAGTTCTCAGAAAGCATCACCTCACAGCTCTAGTGGTTTAGAGGGTTTACAGGGTCACATCCACAAGCATCTCAACATTTCCGCTCCTAAATGCATTGGCAAAACTTTAGACTGCTTAAGGTTGTTTAAACAATAAACAAACTCACATTGGCAAAACTCCAGTGTTGTATGGATCCGCGTGTAAGGCTTTCACTGCCAGTATAACATTTCTGTGATAATGCTGGTGTACGACATAGTCGTATTATTATCACTACTGCTTTGTGATCTATTATACACTCTAAACAATGGTGGGTTGTTTAACCCAAATTTGGGTAAAATATGTACAAACCCAAATGTTGGGTTAAAAATGTAATTTCAAATGTTAACCCAACTTCAACTTTCACTTTCAACTATACATTTTTTTAATTGCATTTTTAACCCAACATTTGGGTTTGAAACAACCCCATTTTGGGGTTGTTTCAACCCAAATTTGGGTCAAATATGGACAAACCCGAATTTTGGGTTAAAAAATCAATTAAGAAAATGTACAGTTGAAAGTGAAAGTTTGAAATTACATTTTTAACCCAACATTTGGGTTTGTCCATATTTTACCCAAATTTGGGTTCCAATAATCCAGCATTGTTTAGAGTGTATACAAATATAGTGTGTGGAAACTCAATGTTTGGGGTTAGGAAATAATATTCAGCATGCATGTATAAACTGATCAAAATGACAGTAAAAACATTTATAATGTTATAAAGATTTAGTTTTCAATTTTTTTGTTATCTTAAAGTGCATGAAACCAATAACATGGGAAAAATCATGAAAACCAGTAACCAATAAATCATGACACCAATAACATTCTCACAACCATCCATTAAAAAAGATCCTGCATGGCCAAATCTACACTCTAAACAATGCTGGGTTGTTTGAACCCAAATTTGGGTAAAATATGGACAAACCCAAATGTTGGGTTAAAAATGTAATTAAAAAATGTACTGTTGAAAGTGAAAGCTGAAGCTGAACCCAACATTTGGGTTTGTCCATATTTGACCCAAATTTGGGTTAAAACAACCCAGCATTGTTTAAGCAGTGTAGGCATCAGAGTATCATAGACTTGACTCAGAAATCACTTATGACCCTAGCAAAAAATAGCAAATACTGGGAGAGTTACGGCCGAGTTTGTTTATCAGCAGAATTACACACACACACACACCCTCATCTTTTGATTGGCGCTTTTGATCTTCCCTTCTCGCTCACTGATGAGTTTTTGTCTGGGATTCTCAAATATTTCTGGAAGTGCCGCTGGAATCGTGATGTTGGGGTGGTGCTAATACAAATAAAGACAGAATAGAGAAAAACACCAAAATAGTTCTATACCCACGTACATCTTGATTGGCATCACTGTTTTGTCAGCGGGGCGCTGTAATTGTTTGTCCTCATAATTACTCTGACAAAATGACAGTCTTTTAACTTTAAAGCACAATGAAGAAACAGCACTCTTGTCAATAAAAGTGGAGAAAAGTTGAGGAAGTTTCAAACGGCATCCTATGAAGAAGAAACATTCGTATCTCAATTGTTTCTCCTAGTCAGCAACACGATTAATTTGAGAGCAAAAGGAGACTATTATGTTTAATCTGAGAAAAATACATTAATAATATCACACAGTCTCCTATAGAGTTCAATATAATGTTATCAAAAGTTTTTGTCAAATTCTCCCAAGCATATCCACAATTATCCATTATTTTTCAGTTTTCTGTTCTATGCAAATTAGTTTGCATACTCCATTGTACAATATATCCGTGCCTGTCGTAGCAGAGTCAGAATTCTTTTTCACATAAGCACCAGGAATTATGGATATTTTTCTTTCCCTTTTTGTTTTTGATCACAATGATTTGTTTTGTCAGCGACTGTACCGCTTGCAGCGAAACTGGACCCGTCAAAACACAAACACTTCAGACGGCTCGTGCCAGTCTTAAACATGGACCAGAGTGAGGTAAAACCTCATGACGTTTCAGAACGGTTTTCCAGAATGTGAGACAATCGCTGTCTGCTGTGGAATGATTCGCTCACAAGGAGCCGGAGGACATTGTCAGAGATCAGCCAGGTTCCATCACCACATCATCACAGAGATCACCTTCACCAGAGTATTAATTATTCACACACCTGCACGACATCAGACACTCTTCACAGGATGTATTTAAGCACTCGTTAGCCACAGTCACTTTGTCTGGTCTCGTTTGTAGATGTACAGACTCACGTCGTTGCTATCTTACCAGCTATCCAGCATTATCTCCATTATCTCCAGCATCTCCAGCGATATCCCTGATCTCCAGCGATTACTCCATTCATCACTCCAAGCTCCTGCGATCTCCGTACGCTCTCCAGCGATCTCTCCGTTCCTCTCCTAAAGCATCAAGAGATCCTTCTATTACCTACACCATTCTTCCTCATCACCAGTAAGGACAGTCGATTGGCATTTCCATCTTCCGCCATCCAGCACTGTTATCCATTCCCTCTGTGACTTACCTTCTGTTATACCAATAAAGCTGGTTATCATCAATTCCCCTGTGTACTCTGGAGTCTGTTCCGTAACAGAAGACCAGACCAAATTATATAAGAACAGCTGTAAAATGAGTTCCCCTGAATCATTCGAAGAGTTGGTGGACGTCTTCAAACATGCACTGTCGTCAGCCGCTTCCGCATCCTCCGACATCGATCCTTCTTCGCCACACGCCACCGTCAGTCCCATAGCCACTCCAGCGCCCTTCTCTGGCGTGGCGGAGGAGTGCGAGGGATTTCTACTACAGTGCTCACTGGCTTTGGAGATGCAGTCTCCGCGTTATCCCACAGAACGCGCGAAAATCGCATATGTCATTTCCTTATTGAGGGGGCGAGCTCTGCATTGGGCTCAAACTATCTGGAATCAAGAGACTGCAGTCACACGTACATTCAACAACTTTATTGATCATTTCCGAGAGGTCTTCGGAATTCCAGATGGTGATTCAACCACGGGTGAGAAATTATATCATCTCAAACAAAATGCTGATTCAGTCTCCGATTACACTCTTAAGTTTCGAACCCTAGCAACAGCCAGTGGGTGGAACGAGCGTTCTCTCCTTACTACCTATCGGCAAGGTTTAAATCCAGGGCTACGACTACATCTCGCCGCCTACGACGACGCCATTGGTCTGGAAAGGTTCATGCATCTCGCCATCCGCACCGATCGTCGTATGCAACCATGCCTAGGAGATATGCAGAGTCAGTTTTCACCTCTTCCATCTCGTCAACCCGAACTAGCCAGTTCTCAAGAACTAGTCCCCATGCAAGTTGACAGCACCCGTCTGTCACGTTCTGAGCGACAGAGGAGGATGACCCAGGGTCTCTGTTTGTATTGTGGCGATGCAGGACACCTCATTTCCGTCTGCCCCATTCGTCCACCACGTCCATGGGTGAGTGTAATCCAGAGCTTCCCCAGCAGTATGAAACCGCTTACTACTCAAGTAACCATTTCTACTTCCCATCTCTCGATTCCAGTCTACGCCCTTCTCGACTCCGGGTCAGCTGGCAACTTCATCTCCGGCTCCCTCTGCCGCCAGCTCAACCTCCCGAAGAGGCGCAATCCGGTCCAATACCAGGTTCAATCAATAATCGGTAAGCCACTCAACAAAAATAATGTACGTTACACCATAGGACCCCTCCAATTACAGGTTGGACTCCTGCACAGCGAATCCATTTCTCTCCTGGTTCTGGAGAACTCCACTGTTGATATCGTTTTGGGACTTCCATGGCTGGTACAACACAATCCATCACTTTCCTGGACCACCGGAGAAATTCTGAAGTGGGGTGATAACTGTTTTCCAAACTGTTTTACGTGTCTGCCTCGACCCATCACTCCTCTCTCCGTCCACTCCACATCCATCGAGAGTCCAGTAGAGAAACAGTCTCTTGAAATTCCCACCTGTTATGCTCACTTCAACGATGTCTTCTGTCCTAGAAAAGCTTCATCTCTACCACCACACCGACCGTGGGATTGCGCCATAGATCTCCTGCCAGATGAACCAGTGCCCCACGGTAAAATCTATCCCCTCTCTCTTCCGGAACAGAAGGCTATGGAAGAATACATTGCAGAAGCACTCCAACAAGGCTACATCCGCCCTTCCACTTCCCCTGCTGCGTCTAGTTTTTTCTTTGTAGCTAAGAAGGACGGAGGCTTACGGCCCTGCATAGATTACAGAGCACTCAATAACATCACTGTCAAGTTCAGGTACCCACTTCCTCTGGTTCCAACAGCTCTTGAGCAACTTCGTGGGGCCACCGTGTTTACCAAATTGGACCTCCGCAGCGCTTATAACCTCGTCCGGATACGGGAGGGAGACGAGTGGAAGACCGCCTTTGTGACACCTACTGGCCACTATGAGTACTTGGTCATGCCGTATGGTTTAGTAAACGCCCCCTCCGTATTCCAGGATTTCATGCACGAGGTGCTCCGAGATTTCCTTCATCACTCCGTTATCGTTTACATAGATGATATTCTAATATATTCCCGGAGCCTGGCCGAACATTGCCATCACGTAGCGGAGGTCCTCCAACGTCTCCGAAAACACCAACTCTTCCTCAAAGCTGAGAAATGTACTTTCCATCAACCATCCGTAAAGTTTCTCGGTTACTGGATTAGTAAGCATGGTATTCAGATGGACGAGGAGAAGGTAAATGCAGTCCGGAACTGGCCAACACCTACCACCATCAAGGAGTTACAACGCTTTCTGGGATTTTCTAACTTCTACCGCCGATTTATCCCCAACTACAGTACCATCACGTCACCCCTAACAAACCTGCTCCGAAAGAAACCCAAGTCTCTGTCTTGGACACCTGCAGCCACCTTAGCTTTCCAAAGCTTAAAGGACTCCTTCACACAAGCACCACTCCTTACCCATCCAGATCCTACCAAGCCTTTCATCGTAGAGGTAGATGCCTCTACTACAGGGGTGGGAGCGGTGCTCTCACAGCAGCAGGGAAACCCGGCCCGTCTTCATCCATGCGCTTACTTCTCAAAGAAACTTTCCCCAGCAGAGATGAATTACGACATTGGCAATAGAGAACTACTAGCCATCAAGCTTGCTCTGGAAGAATGGAGACACTGGTTAGAGGGGGCCAAGGAAAGATTCACAGTTCTCACTGATCATAAAAATCTGCAATATCTCCGAGAGGCCAAACGTCTTAATCCCCGGCAGGCGAGATGGGCTTTGTTCTTCACCCGTTTTAACTTTGACATTTCATATCGTCCTGGTACAAAGAACCTCAAAGCAGATGCTTTATCTCGTCTCTACAATCCCGAGGAGAACACAGAGGATCCTGAACCCATCTTGCCCCAAAAGATTCTTCTGAGTCCCATTAAATGGTCTCTACATCAACAGATCACCTCCTCCAGTGTCGCTAACCCATCTCCGCCAGGATGTCCACCCAATCACCTCTTTGTTCCTCGGTCACAACGCAATAACCTTATACACTCTGCACATTCGTCCGTGGGCACTGGTCATCCTGGGGCAAATCGCACCCTCTTACTGCTTCAAGATCGCTTCTGGTGGCCCAACATGGCAAGGGATGTGAGAAGATTCGTCCAGGGATGCTCAGACTGTGCTATCACCAAGAACCCACGTCATCTTCCATCCGGCAAGCTCCTTCCACTACCCATTCCCCGACGCCCCTGGTCACATCTAGGAGTTGATTTCGCTACTGACCTACCACCCTCAGAAGGTAATACCTGCATCTTTGTAATTGTTGATCGCTTTTCCAAGTCCTGCCGTCTCATCCCATTAAGAGGACTTCCTACTGCCCTGGAAACAGCCGAGTTGCTGTTCAACCACGTGTTCCGTTATTACGGAATTCCAGAGGATATTGTTTCAGACAGGGGGCCGCAGTTCATTTCCCAGGTCTGGAAAGCTTTCTTCAAACTCCTGGGGGTGGCCGTTAGCTTGTCGTCAGGTTACCATCCTCAGACCAATGGGCAAACGGAGAGAAAGATTCAGGAAATTGGACGCTTCCTGAGAACCTTCTGTCATGGTCATCAGAACTCCTGGCACCAATTCTTAGGCTGGGCCGAGTACGCCCAGAACTCACTACGTCAGTCTGTTACTGGTCTCACTCCCTTCCAGTGCGTACTCGGTTACCAGCCTCCATTGTTTCCGTGGTCAGGAGAACCCTCTGATGTTCCGTCGGTTGACTATTGGTTCCGAGAGAGTGAGAGAGTCTGGGACGACGCCCATCATCACATCCAGAGGGCGGTGCGCAGACAAAGGGTCCAGGCAGACACCCGAAGAGCTGAACCACCCACTTACCAGCCTGGACAGAAGGTATGGCTCTCTACAAGGGATATCAAGCTACGCCTGCCTTGCAAGAAGCTGAGTCCCAGATACATTGGTCCCTTCATCATCACACGGCAAATTAATCCAGTTTCTTACCAACTACAGTTACCCCCACACTACAGAATTCATCCTACCTTTCATGTATCACTTCTCAAGCCCTATTACTCACCTGTTCCTATTCCCTCAACAGAACCTGAACCTGTGGAAGAACCCCCCCTGCCATTGGTACTTGAGGATGGAACAGTCTACACTGTCAAGGAAATTTTGGACTCCCGACGTCGTGGCGGTCGTCTAGAGTATTTAGTGGACTGGGAAGGCTATGGACCTGAGGAACGTTCATGGACACCCAGGGAGGATATACTAGATCCGACCCTCCTCACCACTTTCCACGATACTCACCCAGACCGCCCAGCACCCCGAGGAAGAGGTCGACCACCACGACGTCGGGGTCCACGGCCCTCGGGAGCGGGCCGTGGAGGGGGGGGTACTGTCAGAGATCAGCCAGGTTCCATCACCACATCATCACAGAGATCACCTTCACCTGAGTATTAATTATTCACACACCTGCACGACATCAGACACTCTTCACAGGATGTATTTAAGCACTCGTTAGCCACAGTCACTTTGTCTGGTCTCGTTTGTAGATGTACAGACTCACGTCGTTGCTATCTTACCAGCTATCCAGCATTATCTCCATTATCTCCAGCATCTCCAGCGATATCCCTGATCTCCAGCGATTACTCCATTCATCACTCCAAGCTCCTGCGATCTCCGTACGCTCTCCAGCGATCTCTCCGTTCCTCTCCTAAAGCATCAAGAGATCCTTCTATTACCTACACCATTCTTCCTCATCACCAGTAAGGACAGTCGATTGGCATTTCCATCTTCCGCCATCCAGCACTGTTATCCATTCCCTCTGTGACTTACCTTCTGTTATACCAATAAAGCTGGTTATCATCAATTCCCCTGTGTACTCTGGAGTCTGTTCCGTAACAGACATATCATCCTAAAAACAAACCATCTGAATATGATTCAAACTCACATTGTTTTCATCCTCCAGACATCAGACTCCACACTTTAGAGGATTTCATAAAGTCTTGGTTATCTTCAGAGGTCTTCACCTGTCCACAAAGATGCACAAAAGAAAAACAATTGATATGAACTATAAATGTACATTTTATGTAGAACAAAAACATCACATTATACACACACACACACACACACACACACACACACACACACACACGCACACACACACACACACACACACACACACACACACACACATATATATATATATATATGAAGAGTTCAGATGCAAAAGCCTCTAAGTGCCATTTGAAATTTTCTTCTAAAATGATCATTTTTATCAAGCTTGTATATTTAAGTTCAGTAATTTTACTTAAATGGCAATGAAGATTACCTATTAATTGTCATTTAAGTGAAATTACTGAACTTAAATATACAAGCTTGATAAAAATGGTCATTTTAGAAGAAAATTTCAAATGGCATTTAGAGGCTTTTGCATCTGAACTCTTCATTATGTAAACAAACTTTTATTTTAAATGTGATTAATCATGATTAATTGATTTGACAGCACTAAAAAAACATGTATTTAAAAAACGTATTGCCTAGACAATTAATTGAAATAAGTTGGAGTACTAAAATGACTAAAACTGAAAAAAAACAACAACCCCAAAGCTAAATAAATATTTAAAAAGTAAGTTAAAGAAAGAAATTAAAAGCACATAAAATTACAAAAAACAAAAGCTAATTCAAAAAGAATTATAAATAATATTATACTATACAAGTAAAAGTGCTTATGGGTGGTTGCCAGGGTGTTGCTAAGGTATTCTGAGCAGGTTTTCTAGCATGTTACTGACAAAGTTCAAATCTAAAGAGTCCACTCTATTAAAAGACCATGATCTTCTGGGTTTATCAGAATTGTATCATTCACAAAGCAGAAAATCAGAGAGTCAGGCAGCTCAAAAAAGGATTAGCATGCAGCAATGCAGCAATGTTGAAATGCTAATGCAGATTAGCATTTCAACAAACACATCTTTAACAGAGAAGAATTAGTTACATATTGAATATCACATTCTTTTGACTTGGGGCCTGTAAGCAACTGTTTAGAAAAGACTTTGAAAACCCTAGCAACCGAGAACAGCCCAGAAAACAGCCAGAAAACCCTAGCAACCAAGAACATTACAGAAAACACTCAGAAAACCCTAGCAACCAATAACATCCCAGAAAACATCCAGAAAACCCTAGCAACCAATAACATCCCAGAAAACACCCAGAAAACCTTAGCAACCCAGAAAACAGCCAGAAAACTCTAGCAACCAATAACATCCCAGAAAACACCCAGAAAACCCTAGCAACCAAGAACATCCATGAAAACACCCAGAAACCTTAGCAACCCAGAAAACAGCCAGAAAACCCTAGCAACCAATAACATCCCAGAAAACACCCAGAAAACTCTAGCAACCAAGAACATCCCAGAAAACACCCAGAAACCCCTAGCAACCAAGAACATCCCAGAAAATCCTAGCAACCAATAACATCGCAGAAAACCCTAGCAACCAATAACATCGAAGAAACCACCCAGAAAACCCTAGCAACCAAGAACATCCCAGAAAATCCTAGCAACCAATAACATCCCAGAAAACCCTAGCAACCAATAACATCCCAGAAAACATCCAGAATAGTAACCAATTAGAACAGAAACCACTTAGAATTTCATAGAAACCATCCAGAACATACAAGAATCCTTCTAGAATACCCTACCAACCGCTTAGAGCATCACATAAACCAAAGAGAACACCCTAGCAACCACTTAGTACATCCCAGCAAAAATCAAATGGACTAAATTATCAGAGTTTCAGAAGATATATAAAAGATCAAGTGTTATAAATACGGCAGTTAAAGGGATAGCTTGACCGAAATGACATAGCTTGATGTCATTTCAAACCTGTTTTTCTGTGGAACACAAAAGATGAAGACAAAAAAAAACAAAACAATGGGGTGTAAACTTCACTCTATGGTGAAAAAAACCCCAAAAAACAAACAAAAAACAAAACAAAAAAACACCATTGAGATTTTCTTTTGTGTCAATGCACCTCCAGCTACTATAATTTGATTTCATGCATCTTCCGGGAGGCGATGAGAACGCCTTGTGCATTTTTGTCCTCCATTTTTGAGCCACTTTAGCTGTGCCGGAAAAGTCAGTATTGTCTTTCTAGAACTGCGCCTGAAGCCAGACCCTCTACGCCTGACTTCTGAGTTAAAGTACTTGATGCCGTGAAACCTCCCACTGCATTCAACTCAACCTCCAGCTAAAGTAGTTCAGAAGCAATTTAGATTCATGGCAAATGTCTTTTTTTTCCCAGTGAAATGTGAGGGTGCAGGGGAGAAAAGCCCCCAGACCCTTTTGAAGTGGAGGCAGTCGCCATCGCTGTGCACTTTGGGGCATCAGCATGAGTCCCGCTGCGTGACGCATTCACTGCGATCACCTTTCATGTGTCTGTGTGCGCCTGCAGTGATCAGAGCCGCTGAGTAGTTACAATGAGGGAGAGAGAGAGAGAGAGAGACTTAAGAAACATTTTGTGAGGAAATGCGAGATACTGAAAGATGGTTTACAGGCATGCAGTAATGCAGTAACGCAATACTGCAACAACAAAAAAGGTCGTGTTCACTAGAAGCCAGAAATATACTGTAAATAATCCTATTTTAAATGAAAAATTATAAACTGACCTGGAAAACAAATGAATAGTTCACCTAAAAATGAAACTTCTGTCATCATTTACTCACACTCATGTCATTCCAAACCTGTGTGCACTGAAAAAAAATAAAAATAATATGCTTTATCTAATCAATACAATTGTGACAACATATTACAAGCAATATTATTAATTAAATTGTGCAAATTATAATTAATTAGAATATTAATTTGATTAACTATTACTCAATTCTAATTTGTTCAATTTAATAAATAATATTGCTTGAAATCTGTTGCCACATTTTTATTGATTAGATAAAGCATATTCATTTTTACAGTGTGTGAAACTCAAAAGAAGACATTTTACAATGTAAATGGCGTCGAGTGTTGTTTAGACTCCTTCTCTACGTGTTTTTTTATTTTGTTGCATTATTTGATTTCTTATTTTCTAACAGTCATAACATAAAATTTAATTATAGGGAGAATTGCACTATTTTTGGGATTTTCTTTGCCTCCTAGGGCAGCAAAGCAAGTGCATTCTGGGAGTTGTTGTCTTTCATCCACATAAGCCAAAAATACATTTTCTGACTTTTCTCAGTCTAGAAAGCTCCAAATTCAAAAATGATTTCACATTTCTTCTACATAAGTGACCCATTTTAAATACAAATTCATCTTTCCAGATGTGAAGTATCCCTTTAATGTTGTTGTTTTTTTTGTGTGTGTATTGTTTTTTAATTACATCTGTAGGCATATAATGTTAAATTTCTCCTTTGTGGGGGAAAAAAACAATATTTTTGAGTGAACTATATCTTTAAATAAATAATTTCAAGTATTTAGGCTCCAGCATATTCACACATGGGTGAATGCATCCAGTGTGTGTGAAAGAATGAGTGTGTTTTCAGAAATCCTGAGTGGGAGGAAAGGGGAGTTTGAGATGCAGCAAAGGCAGGAAACAGCAGCGGCAATTTGTAAATGCAAATTCAGCTCAGTTGAGCATGTACCCGCTGCTGAAGAGAAAGACTGCATGTGTGTGTGTGTGTGTGTGTGTGTGTGAAGGGAAGAGAGTATAGGGATGTGTATGCGTCATTCGGAAGAGAATGAGAATACGTCTGTGAATCAGTGTTAGTAGGAAGGGGGTCTCGTTTGAGCATGCAGATGATAACGCATTTAATTGTAACTATCCAAGTTTTACACTTGAAGTCTTATTAGTTTCTTATGGATATTATAAAAAGATGAAATATGAATTATTTTGTCAGAAAAAAACAATGGGAAATGTGAACAAAATGAGGTCAACCACATTTAATCAAAGCAGCACTACAAGCTCGTCTCTGAAGAGTTTGTCAGGAATATGTTCGGATAAGATAAGAAAAAAAACCAGCAAATCTGTATCACAAAAAGAGACATGAAAGGCAAATGACAGGAGGAACGCATGCATGCATGTACTTCTCAATCAAATGGAAGAGAAGAAAAAAACATAATAACGGTTATTCACACAACTCTGCTTGCATCCTAAAATACAAACATTCCTACGTAAATATAGGGATGGACGAATACGTGACTTATAAAATGGTTGTATAATACCTAAAATCATCCAATACTGGTTGAAAAGCATCCCAAGATGCACCTCATAAATGAATGTCCAGAGATCGAAACTAGAAGCTGCTCAAAGTTTTCATTTGTGTCCCCAAATCATTATATTTACATGTGTGTTATTTGAGTTTCAATGACTTAATGTTACTAATGTAGAAAACCGAGCATGTGTGTGTCTAGCTTTGAGTGGTAGTGTAGCTACAGTATATGGAGGTGCAGGACACAGCTTGACTTTCGACATGGA